TTCTTGCCCCATGAGCAGCGGAGATCGCAGGGAGCCTGGGGGCGGGGCGGTGGCATGAATCCACCACTCATTGATGTCTGTGTCATGCTCTTCTCTTCATTCAACTCTGCTCGTCTGCCTTCTTGCCCCTGAGCAGCGGAGATCGCAGGGAGCCTGGGGGCGGGGCGGTGGCATGAATCCACCACTCATTGATGTCTGTGTCATGCTCTTCTCTTCATTCAACTCTGCTCGTCTGCCTTCTTGCCCCATGAGCAGCGGAGATCGCAGGGAGCCTGGGGGCGGGGCGGTGGCATGAATCCACCACTCATTGATGTCTGTGTCATGCTCTTCTCTTCATTCAACTCTGCTCGTCTGCCTTCTTGCCCCATGAGCAGCGGAGATCGCAGGGAGCCTGGGGGCGGGGTGGTGGCATGAATCCACCACTCATTGATGTCTGTGTCATGCTCTTCTCTTCATTCAACTCTGCTCGTCTGCCTTCTTGCCCCATGAGCAGCGGAGATCGCAGGGAGCCTGGGGGCGGGGCGGTGGCATGAATCCACCACTCATTGATGTCTGTGTCATGCTCTTCTCTTCATTCAACTCTGCTCGTCTGCCTTCTTGCCCCATGAGCAGCGGAGATCGCAGGGAGCCTGGGGGCGGGGCGGTGGCATGAATCCACCACTCATTGATGTCTGTGTCATGCTCTTCTCTTCATTCAACTCTGCTCGTCTGCCTTCTTGCCCCATGAGCAGCGGAGATCGCAGGGAGCCTGGGGGCGGGGCGGTGACATGAATCCACCACTCATTGATGTCTGTGTCATGCTCTTCTCTTCATTCAACTCTGCTCGTCTGCCTTCTTGCCCCATGAGCAGCGGAGATCGCAGGGAGCCTGGGGGCGGGGCGGTGGCATGAATCCACCACTCATTGATGTCTGTGTCATGCTCTTCTCTTCATTCAACTCTGCTCGTCTGCCTTCTTGCCCCATGAGCAGCGGAGATCGCAGGGAGCCTGGGGGCGGGGCGGTGGCATGAATCCACCACTCATTGATGTCTGTGTCATGCTCTTCTCTTCATTCAACTCTGCTCGTCTGCCTTCTTGCCCCATGAGCAGCGGAGATCGCAGGGAGCCTGGGGGCGGGGCGGTGGCATGAATCCACCACTCATTGATGTCTGTGTCATGCTCTTCTCTTCATTCAACTCTGCTCGTCTGCCTTCTTGCCCCATGAGCAGCGGAGATCGCAGGGAGCCTGGGGGCGGGGCGGTGGCATGAATCCACCACTCATTGATGTCTGTGTCATGCTCTTCTCTTCATTCAACTCTGCTCGTCTGCCTTCTTGCCCCTGAGCAGCGGAGATCGCAGGGAGCCTGGGGGCGGGGCGGTGGCATGAATCCACCACTCATTGATGTCTGTGTCATGCTCTTCTCTTCATTCAACTCTGCTCGTCTGCCTTCTTGCCCCATGAGCAGCGGAGATCGCAGGGAGCCTGGGGGCGGGGCGGTGGCATGAATCCACCACTCATTGATGTCTGTGTCATGCTCTTCTCTTCATTCAACTCTGCTCGTCTGCCTTCTTGCCCCATGAGCAGCGGAGATCGCAGGGAGCCTGGGGGCGGGGTGGTGGCATGAATCCACCACTCATTGATGTCTGTGTCATGCTCTTCTCTTCATTCAACTCTGCTCGTCTGCCTTCTTGCCCCATGAGCAGCGGAGATCGCAGGGAGCCTGGGGCCGGGGCGGTGGCATGAATCCACCACTCATTGATGTCTGTGTCATGCTCTTCTCTTCATTCAACTCTGCTCGTCTGCCTTCTTGCCCCATGAGCAGCGGAGATCGCAGGGAGCCTGGGGGCGGGGCGGTGGCATGAATCCACCACTCATTGATGTCTGTGTCATGCTCTTCTCTTCATTCAACTCTGCTCGTCTGCCTTCTTGCCCCATGAGCAGCGGAGATTGCGGGAAGTCTCGGAGCGGTGTTCACTCTAGCCATGGGGCATGTACCCACCGGGGCCAACACCATCTGGCTGCACATGCCTGCCCGCTTCGACCAGATCCAGTCGCTGCTCAACGCATGGTGAGTGGTGAGTGGAGAGAGCTGGCTTTGCAGAGTGGGCTTGGGAAGGGGCAATGCAATGGGGCATGTGCCCACCGGGGCCAACACCATCTGGCTGCACATGCCTGCCCGCTTCGACCAGATCCAGTCCCTGCTCATTGTGTGGTGAGCTGGAATTGGGTCGTGGTGAGTTGGGGACCACATTGTTATCAGGTTTGTGTGTGTGTTGTGTGTATTTCACAGGCACACTGCAAGAAGAACACATACGAGTTACGATTTTACGATATCGAGTCGCATCATTCTTCCAGTCGTTCCGTCATTCTCCTTACCCTCCCCGCCCTTCCCGTGGAAGCATAGGGTCGTGGTGATATTTGCGAAGAACATGTCCTTGGAACATTTTTTAGGCGCCTCAAAGGTCCTCAGAACATGATCCGTTTCTCTTTGAAAATTAAAAAAATGCATACGTGCCCTTATTCGCTCTATGATCCCCAGAGAGTAATGGTTCGCTCTCTCTGGGGATCTGATCTGTTCCCATTACTTCCCCCTCTGTGTCTTCCTTCGCTTCGTGTACCAGGAAGCACAGGGACGTGGTGATATACGCCAAGAACACATACGAGCGTTTTGACCGAGAGACAGACGACATGGCGCATGTGCTGCTGCCGTATGCCAGAGAGTGGCACCTCGCTGCCAAGCGAATTGTGGCTCGCCTGCCCAAGCCCTTCATTGGAGTGCATTATCGATCTGAGTTCATTGCCTTCAGACTGGTATGCTATGCTGCCCCTCTGTTCTTCCTAAGGTGCCTCAGAAGCTGTACAGCTGCTAGAAGCCTGTGCCCTTGTCTTGCCTTGAGAGGGAAAAGGACAGGGTGTTATGGCGCATGTGTTGCTGCCGTATGCGCGAGAGTGGCATCTCGCAGCCAAGCGAATTGTGGCCCGCCTGCCCAAGCCCTTCATTGGCGTGCATTACCGTTCCAAGTTCATCGCCTTCAGGCTGGTAGGCCCTTGCTGGCCCTAGAGAGTCTGTAGACTGCCTATGCTACAGCAGTTGCACATGGCCGCGTGGTGAAGCGGTTCGTTGGCGTGCATTATCGCTCCAAGTTCATCGCCTTTCGACTGGTATGCTACCCCTTTGTTGCCTCTGAGGCGCCTCAAAAGTTGTTCGCCTGTTTGAAGCTGGTTCTCTCCCTTGTCTTCCCTTGAAAGGGTGATGGGCGACATGGCATATGGAGTACTGCAGTATGCACTCACCACCACTATCACCACCCATGCCCACCCCATTGCCAACACCATCACCATCACCATCCCCTTCACCATCACCATCACCATCACCATCACCATCACCATCACCATCGCCATCCCCATCCCCATCCCCATCCCCATCCCCATCATCAGGCAGGTGAAAACAGAACCGACATCCCAGTCGAAGAGAGGCTGAAGATTCTCAAGGATCGCACCAGATGGTGCACCAGGGAAGCTGCCCAGAAAATAAACAAAGTGAAAAAGAGGCTTAACGCATCGACCGTCTTTCTCGCAGCCGATATTCCGTACAATCAGTCCGGTGCTACGCCTCGGTCCGAGTCATGGGATGCGCTGAAATGGGCTTTTGGAGATAATAATGTGTCGGACGTGCCTCATTATTACCTGTCCTGGTTGCGCAAGAAAGTGAAAGGGACTGTCATGATTGACGAGCTTATGCCATCGGCAAACAACCTCGACCCAGGTGCGTCTAACTTATCATTTTGCACCTGCTATGCTATCCAATTTTTGCCCAGCTGTCAATATCAAATCAGTCCAATCGTGTCTTTGTGGAAAATGTCTCGGCAGGTATCGTGGCCATTTTAGACAAGCTGATTTGTGCTCGGTCAAGCATCTTCCTTGCTGGCTCCATATCTTGTGGAGGTGGCCGGGGCTTTGAGAAAGATATATTGCTTCACCGAGACAGCCTGAATAGAAAGCTAGATTTTGTTAGATGGGCTGCTGGGGAGAAACCCTTTTAGGTGTGTCTGAACAATATATTTAGCTGTCTTGTTTTTGAACTTGGATGTATATTTGCGGAAGAGGTTACACTGATATCGAATGCGTTCAACGCGTGGTTCAAGCAATTTGTGGTGTGGGTCGTTATCCCCGGTGCGACGTGTCGTTCGGGATTGACTGCCAATCAAAGGCGAGGTGACGTGTGAATTGCATGACGTGTGGATCTCGGGGCAATCCAGCATCGCTTCCATTCGTATTTCACCGATGAGAATTTCTGACATGCCTCGGATTTCTCGCGGGTTCCCTTGTCGAGCTCTGGGGCGTACACACATCAGTGTGTCGACACCTGTTTGAAGGCTTCGAGATCCTGATCGTGATGCGGATGCGTTTCCAGAGTGAAACGTCGGGGTCCGTTTCAAGCTTTGCTATAAACACCTGGCTCCAAAGAAGGCCAAGTACTTTACAGTACGACTGATTTCAGTTTCGGATCTCGGAATTCTCACAACAAAACAACCCGAATAAGTACGTTCCAGTACGAACTACTGGAGACCCTCTCTTGCAAACACGCTACCAGTCATTCCATCTTCAGCTTTCTGTTCTGACCAGCGTTCACATTGCTCAGAGGGGCATACCTTACTGGTTTCCACCTTCGAGCCTATTTTGAGAGGCTAGATTTTCTGAAGGTATTCCTCTTATCCTCCACACATTCAGGACCATTTCGAGGTTCTGTCATATTCTCACATAATGGCCGCTTCAACGCTCTCCGCGTCCGTTGCTCAGGCCGCCGTTGCCCTTCAATGTAAGGCAATGGTAGCTGGCGAGTCCGATCACTCTGGTCTGTGGAGACTTCCCGGTTTTAGCTGTGCACAATGATTCGCGTATCGGTTTTCCGGTCTCAACTACTTAGTAATATCTAGCGTTGAAACTAGGAGCATGAGGATATGTCGCCGTTCTAGATTCTTCGTACCGTACTCATACATGCTCGGCTCTGGCACATGCATCTTCCGTCTCTAGATAAATAAAAAAAGATTTCACCCGTAACATTTCTTTTGTTCCGGTATAACTTGGACAATAACTCTCCCTCGAATTTCTCCGCTACCCCTTTGCAGGCAATGGCAGCAGCACAGCATCCGTTCGTGCCGAACGGATCTCCTCAGCAGCGGCTCTTTTCCCCTCCAGAGTCACTGGTCTGTCTGGTAAGTCCATTCCCCCCACTACCTAGCCTCTTGGCTTTCTCAATCTTGCCTCCCCTCAGCAGCGGCTCTTTTCTCCTCCGGAGTCACTGGGTGAGTCAATTTTCCGGCCTACCATGGCTTCTCTTGTCCTCTTGAAGTTGCCGGTGGCTCTTCAATTCATTCAATCTAAACGTTCCAATCTTAACATTCCTCAGCAGAGGCTATGTGTCCACGTGACCATTCGTTAACGTGGCCGTGCGTTTACGTGGCCATGTATTGACGTGGTGGTGATGCTGTCACGTGACCATGCGGTCATGCGATAGTGCTGTCACATGATCATGCGGTCGTATCTACCCCTGCTTCTCCCCGCCTACTTCCTCTTCCACGCCCTCTTTCCCTACTTACGCCCCCTCCCCTCGTTTCTCCCTTTCCCCTTCCCAACTTCCTCCGCCTCTCCCGCCTTATCCGTCCCCTCCACCTCCCTCCACCTTTCCTCTTCCACCACTCTCCTTCGCCTCCTCCGCCTCCTCCTCTTCCGCCTGCTTCGCCGCCCCTCCTCCCTCCGCCTCCTCCTCTTCCGCCCCTCCTCCCTCCGCTTCCGCCTCTTCCGCCTGCTCCGCCTGCCCCGAGCACAGCCAGCAGCCACGTGTCTCGCAGCGCGCGCACGCCAGGGCGCGGGGTCACGAGGAGAGCCAATGGGGTGGCGCCACGTGCGTCCGCTGACGCAGAGGAGCCGGTGACCATTGACAACTCGACCGGTGAGATTTGAGCTGTCTAGTATAATTTCGTTCATGTCGCAAAACCAGAGAGAGGGTTTAGGGTAGAAGGAGGGGAAGGGTGGGTAGAGGTATGTGGATGGGTTCGTCATGGATAGGCAAGAATGGAGGGTAAAAACCCTGACAAGATGAAACACGGACGGAGGAAGGAGAGGTGCAAGAACGGAGAGAGAATGTGCGAGTCACAAAAGTCATGTCACCTAAAGGTGGGAATCGAATGGCATCAGGTGGTGTGAGGCCCACACGCTCTCCCCCTATCTCGCCCCTCCCTACCAACTGGCCCCTCCCTCCCCCCCTCTCCCCTCCCTTCCCTCTTCCCCAGTGTACTTCGCCCGTCACTACCTCCGCTCTCCTCACCCACCTCGGCCCTCGCTCACAGTGCAATGGAGTGGGCAGCAATGAAGTGGGAATGGAGGTGGTGCAGCAGCTGGCCAAGGCGGGCTCGTGGGTGACGGCACTGCCGAGGGGGGAGAAGGCCTGAAAGTAGTTATTTCATCTCCCACCCTCTTTTTCCTCCCACCCTGGCATCCTGCTCTTCCCATCCAGTCCTCGTGGTGGGCGGTGGCGGTGTGGGCATGGAGGTGGTGCGTCAGCTGGCCAAGGCAGGCTCGTGGGTCACTGCCCTGCAGAGGGGGGAGAAGTTCCGCAAGGAGATTGAAGGGCTGGGAGCCATGCTGGCTATTGGTGATGTGATGGCGCCTGGAACCATTGAGAAGGCCTTGAGGGGGAACACGTTTGACGCTGTTGTCTCCACTGTTGGTGAGTGTGTGTGGGGGTGACGGCCCTGCAGAGGGGGGAGAAGTTCCGCAAGGAGATTGAGGGGCTGGGCTGGGGGCGGCAAGGTTGAGAAGGTCTTGAGGGGGAACACCTCCGATGCTGTCGTTTCCCCCTTTGGTGAGTTGAGGGGAGTGGGCGTGAGTGAGCAAGTGAGTGAGCGTGTGTGTGTTTTTGGCATCATGTGTGTGTGGGTGACTCACTGTCTTCTTCTATTTGTGCTCTGTGTGTGTTACTATGTGCAGGAGGGGGGCTTACAGACATCAAGGTGGACTCGGTAAGTGAGATACGTTGCTGCATTCATCATAGCGCACTGTGCCACTGTGTTCTTCGTGTGTTACTGGGATTAATAACTGGGATGAATCACTGGGTTGAATCACTGGGTTGCATCATAGCTGCGTTTTCGGGCCCCCTTTTACTCCTCGCCCATTTCTTCCAGTCTCCTGCTTTATCATCTTCAGTTGCCTCTCTTTCACCTCCTTTCTCTCCCTTCTCTCCTTTCTCTGCTTTCTCTGCTTTCTCTCGTTTTCTCCTCCCCACAACAGGATGGCAACAACAATGTCATTGCAGCAGCGGAGAAGGCCGGTGTTCCTCGCTTTGTCCTTGTGAGTTGGTTTATTGGAGGGGAGGGGAACGGAGGGAAGGAAGTGGGAAGGGAGGTTGGGAGGGAGGGAGGGTGGGAGAGGGGGGGAGGAAGGGGCAGGGAGGAAAGGGGAGCGGGAAGGGGGAGGGGTGTGAGGGGTTGTGGGTGCTACTCGTGTCATCACTGTGCGTCATCCCTGGTCCATCACAGAAAATGAGGAAAGAATCAAAGAAGTGGGAGAGTGGGTGCGAAGAAAAAGGAGGGGGGATTGGAGTAATCACGAGGCGGGTGATTGCAAGGCATGCACTACATTGCTATGAGATGGACGTGCTGGGGCCAGTGCTGGTGCTTGCATCATGATTAACCCCAGGTTGACTTTTCCGTCATCCGTTCTCATTCTCGGTCGCTTCTCTGTTCCTGTCCCCGCTCAATTCTCCCAATTGTTGAACATAGGCACTCTGGGTTAGGGATAACAAGGCGGCTGTCATACCTTTTATACGTTCTGGTAGAGAAGCAGAGGAGCGAGGAGTGACCCAATCCTACCCTATCTCCTCTTTGCATCTCGTCCTCGCCTCTGATCCCCTGCTCTCTGTCTCTCCTCTGCTCTCTCCACTCAGGTATCCAGCATAGGAGCAGGCGACAGCAAGGCGGCGGTGCCAGGGAAGGAGATGGACGTGATGGGGCCGGTGCTGGCAGAGAAGGAGAAGAGCGAGGAGCAACCCAGGCCTATCCTCACTTCTCTGTGTTGTGTTTTTCCCCTGCTCTCCCTCTCTCCTCAGGTGTCGAGCATAGGAGCAGGCGACAGCAAGGCAGCGGTGCCAGGCAAGGAGATGGACGTGCTGGGGCCGGTGCTGGCTGAGAAGGAGAAGAGCGAGGAGCGGCTCAAGGCGAGCGATAAGCTCAAGTGGACTATTGTGCGCCCAGGAGGGCTCCTCTCAGATGTAAGCATGGTGTGAGAATCGAGAGGAGAGGTTTTGTTCCAGGGTGAGGTAGGCACGAGATGGGAAGAGCAAGGAGCGGCTCAAGGCGAGCGATAAGCTCAAGTGGACCATCGTCCGCCCAGGAGGGCTTCTCTCTGATGTAAGCCTGCTGTGAGATGTAAGCGTGGTGTCAAAAGTAGAGGGGAGAGACATTGGTTTCAGGGGGGAGATGGTTCATGAAGGGGAGGAGAAGAGCGAGGAGCGGCTCAAGGCGAGCGAGAAGCTCAAGTGGACCATCGTCCGCCCAGGAGGGCTGCTCTCAGATGTAAGCCTGTTCTGTTTTCGGTTCGAGTGGAAGGGCTAGGTTCCTGTGGAGACTCAGGAGCGGCTCAAGGCGAGCGAGAAGCTCAAGTGGACCATCGTCCGCCCAGGAGGGCTGCTCTCAGATGTAAGGGGAAAGGAGAGATGTGAGATGTAAACGTGCTGTAATGTGGCTCGAGGGGAAAGGTTTAGTTTCTGGGGAGAGACAGGTTTCACGAGAGAAGTAGTGGAGGGGAAACAAGGCACACAGTGTGTTCAAGTGGACCATCGTTCGCCCCGGAGGGCTCCTCTCAGATGTGAGGGGCGAGGAGAGCGGTCAGGTGCTCAGGGAAAGGAGAGGGGTGGGATAGAAGCCTGCTCCTGCTGTCAAATTCCAGGGGAAAGGGTTTCATTTCAATCAAACATGTTGTCACTTTCACTACCCACTATGCATCCCCTTCATCATCCGCACCCACCACCACCTCCACCACCCTCTCCCTCCCTCCCTCCCTCCCTCCCTCCCTCTCTCTGTGACGCACACCTCCCTCCTCCGGGCGGCCACTGGCACGGGCATTCTCACAGAGGACAGCAGCGTGGTGGGGATCATCTCAGTTATTGAGTCCACTCAGAATTCTCTTTCAACTCTCACCCTCCCCCATCTCTCTCCTCCCCCCCCGCACAACCTTCCCCTTCAGGCGGCCACCGGCACGGGCATTCTCACAGAGGACAGCAGCGTGGTGGGGGTCATCTCCCGTGCTGACGTGGCACAACTGGTGAGTCACCTCCCTTGCTGACGTGGCGCAGCCCGTGAGTTGCCACCTGGTTTCTGAACGCAATTGTGTCTTTTCCGAGGATTTATGAAGTCTGTATATGTCTGCCCATGCCTAGATTATTCAGTCTCCATCCCTACACCTGGTGCCCATCAACTCACCTTGAGACTTTGCGCACTTTCTTTTTTAGGAGAAGGCTGAGGGCAATTGAGATGCTGCAAATACCCACCATCAGTCGTTGCGTGTGCCCACCACCCCACCATCAGATTTTGCGCATTCTCTTTGAGGTGAAGGCCGAGGGGAAGGTGTTCTCTGCCATTGATGCGCAAAAGGTGGGTGTATATCCGTCCCTCTATCCCCCCTCTATACACATGCCACACATATTTGCTCCCACTGCCGCGTGCATTATCATCACACATTGGTGGTGATGCATCCTGTTGCCCTTCACACTAATACCAAACCCCGCCGTGAGTTGTGCAGAAATTCCCTGGAGCACCCGAGAAGGAAATTGTTGAGTTTAAGGTGTAAAACGTTCCTTATATAGTGATATTCTATGTTTAGGTTATGAAAAATGAAATTGGATCTCTTGAGAAGGGTATTGTAGAACCTTATTTGAAATAGTACTGCATTTTTCTACACATTTTTTGTAAGAGTAAGATGAGAATGTGAAGTTGGGAGAGCATGATTAGAGGTATTCAACTTGTCATTTGTGGTCGTTATGCTGCAAGACCGCCATTTATCTGCTCTTCTTAGGGCGCGTCATTTTCATTTCATTTTGGCTCGATACCCATCCGGACCGATCTGAACATCAATTGGACCGATGTAGAACCTGGGACATCTCATTGAGCCGCATTCAAACGAACGAAAAAGACCCGCCCTTAGAAAGGATGAGGCAGTATCGAATGCGGTTGAACATGCCACCTCAACCACATAGCAGCTCGATTTTGTGACTGGCGGCTCCACTGTGCTTCCACCGAATTTTGTGATTGAATGAAACCACGACTGGCGGGAGGTATGACTAAATTGAAGAGGGCCCTTGTATCGGGCGTTCACGTCATCTGAAGTGGGGTCCCTGAAATGTGCTTCCACATTTCAGAAAACTGACCTCATCGAACGGCTCATCGTGACGATTACCTGGTCGCGATCAGGTCCCAGATTCGTTCGTCCAATGAAACGAGGGTTTGCTGGCACCGTTTTGTTTGATGGCCCGGGTATCGACTAACCAAGCGGTTCGGATGTGGCTCGGAAGCGTTACTATTGGACGCTCCACGACGTGTCAAAGCGAAATCCGGGGCTCGTCTGTAGGTTGGAAAGTGGCTGGTAAGTAAAGTACATAGCTACATAAAGTTTCCCAGAGAGCCCGAGGTGTGTGGGGTGCCGGAAAATCGAGAATAGCTGCGGGCAAGTCGAGGCAGGTGCGGCTTGGTTGGCCCGTCAAGCGGGCTTTGTTGCTTTGGCTTGGTTCGTTCATGTTTGTTGCCCATTCAACCGCTTGAAATTAGCATTCAACTCATCTAAAATGCAAAACACATCGTTGAACCGCATACATATCCCGCACTTGGTGCTCTCCGTCATTCGCTGCATCCCGCACATGCCCCATCTGAAGCAACCATTCCACCATCACGCCATTTGATCCTTGCCTTTGGTGTGGTCTCGTCACGTCAACATCATCGTTTTGGTTGCAAGCGTTGCAAATGCAATGCATTCTATTCCATTCCATAGGCCCCCGTCGCGCGCTCGTTCCAGCCTCGCTTCCTGCTCGTGGCGTCGTCGCCGCTACGCTGACGTGTAATTTCAGCGACTCGACAGTCCGTCGCCCAGCCGCCAGTCTCTTCGATACGAGATGTTAGAGTCAACTCGATCTAGAATCATCCCTGCTAGAGATTACTATTTTTTTCTGCTCCCTCTCCATCGACCACCAGTCGCCAAAACCCAGGGCTGGAACGGGTCTGGCCTGCCCTGATTGCATGACATGACATGCGCGGTGCGGTGCACGAGCAATACGATGTTGCCTGTCAAGAAGCATAAGCGTTTTCTAGCACCGTGATTTACAGCACCACCCTAGCCGCCTTTTTCTCGCTACTCCACCTCCCACATTCACCTTGCGTCAACATTGCTAGTCCTCGTCATTGCACTCATAATCCTCACACAATCTCGCCATGCCCCTCCGCGAGTCTTATTCCACCCCCCGTTCCAGCTTTCATCACCTTATGAAGCGCCTCATAAGTAGCCCGACAGTTTGAAGCGATAGGCCCCTTTTTTTTCCTATTAATGGATGTTCCACCTCTGATCGGATTGGGAAAGTCGAGAAAATAGAGTAACAGGTGCTGACGTGGATCGTTCCCGTTTAGTGTTTCCAACCAGAGCGGACCCGATAAAGCAGACCCCGCGTATGCGTTCTTACCTCCACGCGCACACGAGAATGAAAGAGCACGCAACGTCACTGCCTGCAAGAGCACTCCTCCGGCCGTTAAGACGCGCCGCCTCGCTCCTCCTCCTCCTACACCTCCACCTCGCCTCCTCCGCGTTCCTCGGCCTCGCGCGCGCTAATGAGTCGCTCGATGCTCTCGACGCGCGCGATACTGCCGAGCCTAGAGGCGCTACCGAGCCGGAAAACGCGCGGGCTCCGCTCGACGCTCGTAGCTCCCTCGATCATGCGCATGCTCCCGCCGAGCGCAACAGCCCTTCCGCGAGCATCGGCTCATTCGCGGGGAACGGCTCCTTTGCTGGGAGGGGCTCGTGCGCGTCCGTTTCCGCCTCCCCTTCCGCTTCCGCCTCCGCCTCCGCCTCCGCCTCCGCATCTGCTTCCGCTTCCGCGCTCCCCGTGGTGGTGTGGCACGGGTTCTTCGACTCGTGCCGCAACGACAAGAGCGTGGGGTATCTGCGCGCCGCCGTGCGCAGCGTGCTTCCAGACGTGTTCTTCCACTCGATATGCGTCAAGGAGGAGGGCGTACACGATATAAGCTCCTCCATATTCGGATCGATCGACCAGCAGGTAGCGATATGAAAACAACATAGTGGTAGCGAGTGGTAATTGGGTTCAATAAAGCTCGTCCTAAACAGACAAAACACGACGTGCCGGACAAAGAGTGGCTGCTCTTCCGCGCGTACCCCTAGTGCTCCTTCCGCCCACTCTTCACCCCTCCCCTCCCCTCACCCACCCTCTCTATCGTTCCCCCTTAGCATCCCCCCGGCCTTCTTGCCATTCTCCGCATTCTCCCTCTCTCTCGCCCCTTCCCCTTTCCCCCAGATTGACGAAGTCTGCGAATCGCTGGCGGCCATTCCGCAGCTGGCGCGCGGATTCAACGCCATCGGGATCAGCCAGAGCGGGTTGCTCTTCCGCGCGTACGTGCAGCGCTGCAACGCGCCCCCCGTGCTCCTTTCACTTATTATTCGCCCCTTCCCCCCTTTCCCCACTCCCTCCACCCCCGGGCCTTCTTGCCCCTCTATATTCCATCCGTCGTCCCAGATCGACGAGGTCTGCGCGTCGCTGGCCGCGATTCCGCAACTCGCGGGGGGGTTCAATGCCATCGGGATCAGCCAAGGCGGGTTGCTCTTCCGCGCATACGTGCAGCGCTGCAACTCGCCCCCCGTGCGCACGCTCATCACGCTCGGCTCCCCGCACGCGGGGATGGCGGCGCTGCCTTACTGCGGCCCGAGCGATTCGAGCAGGGAGAATAATGCGGAGATTAAAGAGGAGCTGAATCCTGCTGGGTGTAATCGGGGTGGAGATGATGGTGACGTGGCGGCGAATGCCACGTGTAACGCCAGCGTGGCAGCGGACTGGGAGGGGGAAAGCACGTGGCGGGAGGAGCAGGGGGCGGAATCGGGCGGACTTAGTAGTTTAGGCGGCGTTGGCGAATCTGCGTTAAGAGTGCTTGCATCTAGCAGCAACGGCCTTAGCGGCTTTAGCGGCGGTTTGAGCGGGCTCAGCAGCGGCTCGAGTAGCCTAAGCGGCTTTAGCAGCGGTTTAATCAGCTTTAGCGGAGGTATCAGTGGCGGAAGCTTCGCTGGAAGCAGCGAGATTGCAGGGAGTGTGACTTGGGCGGTGCTTAGCGGTCTAGGGACGGCAATAGACTTCTGTACACTTTTAAAACCGCACATGCATCGAATTTACCTGCCCTGGGTGCAAAAGTTTTTTATGCCCGCGCAGTACTTTCGGCTCTGGCGGCACATGGATCGGTATTTGCAGCGGAGCGCGTTTCTCGCGGATATCAACAACGAGCGCGGCCCGACGAGACGGAATGAGACGTACGCCGCGAACGTACGGAGCTTGGAGCAGTTCGTGCTGGTGCGATGGGAAGATGAAACGATGATCTCGCCTCCCCAGTCATCGGTACGTTACACGTCTCCCCCACCCCTCTCACCCCGCCCCCCCTCTCTCCCCCCCCCACCCCTCTCACCCCCCCCTCTCTCTCCCCCCCACACCTCTCACCTCGCCCCCTCTCTCCCCCCTTATCTGGCACCCCTGATCCACACTTCTCTCCCCCAGCTTCCCCTCCCCCCTCCCCCCTCTCCCCCCCCATCCCCAAATCTGCTCCGCCAGTGGTTCTGGTCGCACGACTGCTCCGGCAATCTGCTCCCCATCCCCTTCCAATCCAATCTTCCCTCCTTCCCAACTCCCCCTCTTGACCCAACCTTCCCAATCCTCCAAAACACTCCGCCAGTGGTTCTGGTCGCACGACTGCTCGGGAAATCTGCTCCCGTTACCCCCCAACCCCCCACTCCCATTTCACTTCCCAACTTCCCCCCTTGACCCAACCTCCCCCATCCCCAAAATATCCCCCCAGTGGTTCGGGTCGCATGACCGCTCGGGCAATCTGCTTCCGTTACAAGAGCAGCCAATGTATTTCGAGGATTGGCTGGGGTTGCGCACCCTGCACGAGAGGAAAAAGCTACACTTCACCACCATGCCTGGCTCTCATGTAAGACTCCTAACACAGAGTAATGAGACCCATTTTTTGTGACATTCAAATCCATGTGCTACTTATTTTATAGCATTGAGACCTGCATGCACGTTGCTTGCACTCTATCCTGCTTTGTTTAGCTCTCCATGGTCTTTTCTGTGTGAACCCTGCACTCACCAGTCTATTCACAGCCATTGTCGTTTTTCTATCCACACAAGCATTCATGGCGGTCTTAATCTGTTGCAAATTATCCACGCGTGCCTGGTTGTTATTTATGCACCCATGCGAATGAATAACATTTTGCAACCATGATCATGAATGCTTTTTCTGCATCCATGTGTGATTTCTTTTGTCTTGATCCATATGCATGAATGTTACGTGAATCCATGCGTATGGATGTTGTTTCTGCATCCACATGTATAAATGCCTTGACTGCACCCATGTGTATCAATGGTATCTGCATCCATATGTATGAATGTTCTATATGCATCCATGTGTATGAATTCCATGTCTGTATCCATGCGAATGATGAATGTTTGTATATGCATCCATTTGCAGGGCATCATCAACCCCTCGCTCTTTGCTCGTGAGTTCGTTTCCAAGTATCTCGTCCCCGAGCCAGCCGTGGCAGTTGCGTGAAACTCAACAAATCTGATAAGCTGGTGCGCGTATCAGCTGTGTGTAAAGTCCTCCTATTGGTCAGAACTCTCACCATCTCGTTGGAGTTCCGCAACCAGCTGCTTCAAGCTCTGAAGTACAGCCCCAGCATCCGTTCTCAAGGAAAAGCCTGTAGCAGAAAGGCCATGTAGCAGGAAGCCATCGGTAGTAGCAGGCACAGCCGTTGATTTAAATAGGAGCAACAGCATAGGTAGTGTAGGCCGGAAATAATAAAGCAATAGAGACCTGACAGTTCTGTAGTAAATCATGGGGCTTGCTGATGCAGGATTAGAAGGATGCCACCTCAGCATCTTCAATGGCACTAGAAGATTTTGTTTAGTTTGGGGGCCGTTGTGAATAATGGAGTTAGACACAGTTTTAGGTTGCGAATGGTTACATATGAGTAATTGGACAGTGCTTCTCTTTTATGGTTGCAACTCGCAACCTATTATGATGTTTTGTGAAACTTTTCGGTGCGGACAGGACTCGTGCTTAGGGAAAAGCCCGGTTCTCCACTTGTCCTCTTTGCACAGCCTTTTCCCCTCTAGCATATACTACTACTCTGCCAAGTACTTGTGTAGGCTGTGCCAAGTTAATGCAATCTTTAGTTATGCATCTTTATTAAAATATGAAATAAATGTGCAGTACGAGCACCTCTATAGTCTACATACATAGTTGCTTTGCTAAAGAATGCAAGCTGGCACATGTGGTGGCTGGTGTTCACAGCCTTGTGCCGACAATCGAAGTTCCCTCAACAATTGTGCACGTAACACGTGTTTGGGGACTGCCTTGTAACCGAGGACGAATGGGGACGTCGCTTGAATGCCAGGGTGGACACTTTGCGATCGACCTCAAACGGCTGAACCCTCTATACGATTTTGAGTAAACTGGGTAACATGCACATGATTGGGGAAGAGTCAGTCGCCCAGCTTCGTCGATCCATCGTTTCTGGAAAATCGCATGGCACGTGGTTTGAGTGTGGTGCTCCCTAACTTCAACGCTGAAACAACACCGTCACAACAGGTGGTTTCGGTGATGATCGAGGCGCGTTTGGAGGGGCTAGGCTGTCACATACGACACGATGCGCTATGCCAAACGCGACCTGACTGTCCTCGCACGTTTCGCACACATCCTGCGTTGTCCATCTGTACGACGCCCAACCAGCCCCCTTGCGTTGCGACCGACCGATTTCAGATGAGGTCACAAACGGGTGCAGTTCAATCGACGAATTACGAAAACGTTTTCAGTTCAGTACAGTGACCCATCGTCGCATAACGTGACTGTTCGCTGAGGACTGTCGGTTCCAGCCGTCAGCTAGTCCACCCATCCCTTCCCTCACCGCCCCAACGGGGCCGAACTTGACGGAGCGGCGCCACATCGTCCTTGAGGATGGACAATCACAACCAGTCAGAAGCGCGACGCGGAAAAATAACTTTCCAGGGAGAAGAGGGGGGCTGCATGGATGGCCACGTTACAAAGCGGTGAGGTATACACTTTCAGGATAATCTAAGGGTGGTAAGCGGTTCCGACCAGTGTAAGGTGTCTTCTCATCTTGGGAAAGCTTTTGAGTGGGTGCATAAATCCCTAGAAAAGCGCAACAAGCAAGCATTGGAGTTTGAGCACACATCAGGGAACTCACCTTGATAGTTGAGCATCGATTTTACCTTGGCTCCCAAGTTCGATCGTTCAAATCTTGTTTACTATATACGGGCGTTTGACTGACCTGTCGCAAGACTCCTCAATACAGGCCCAGCACAGATATTAGAAGCAACGTCGTCACTTCCGCTCCACTATCACCATCCTGAGAAGCACTCCGCCGTCTACATTCCGTCTACTGACGGTTGACCGTCAATCAGACGTTCAATAGCGGCAGCAGTACAAATCATGGCCACTGGTATGTACATGGACACGCGGATGCAGCAGCAGTTCTGGGGCTATGGCGGCTACTCGCAGCGCGATCTATACTCGCAGCGGGATCTCTACGAGCCTCCTCCACCGATCCCCAACCCGAGTCCCCCCATCGGCCGCCTCGCGCGGCCCCCGCTTCTCGTCATTCCGCCGATCGTTCCCGCTCCGCTCACCCCCACCCCAGTTGCGCTGATGCGGGAAATCGAGCGCTACAACAGGAAGAAGAACGCGGAAAGAGCCGAAAAGCTAGCGGCGGATCGCACCGCGGGTCCCCCCGTGCGTCCGCGCAGGCGGAGGGTTTGGGACGACATGTTCTTCGACCTTCCCCCGACGCCCCCTCCGCGTCGCGCGTCGGCTCCCGCCGCGCCCGCCACCCACGTTGCTCCGTCAGAGCCGCTTCAGGTCGTTACAGCTAGTACCGCGCCCGCGCCTAGCACTGCTAATACCGCGAATAATACTGCTCCCGTACCTGTCGTTCGCGCCGCTCCGTTGAAACCGCTGAAGGAACTCAACGGCACGCTTCCACCGCCACTGCCGCTGACACTCTCCGCGTCGAACGTCGCAGCAAATACGCTCGTTCCAGTGGACGGCAAGGCGGCGAGATCGCACAAGCTGTTACCCGTATCTGCGAATCAACCTTCGTTCAGAACGTGGCTGGGGAACGAGGAGAATGCGACGACGGCGACAGCCGTGCGACCGAGCGGCGCCTGCTGCGAAACCGCGTCGCAGGTTTCGTCCGCGGAGCTTCGCATCGATATCTCGTCGCTTGGCGCTGCTGCTGCTGGCTCTGCTGCTGCTGGCGGTGCTGCTGTCTCTACTGGATCGTTCTGTGCCGACTTGGGAAGCGCCACGGCTCACACGTCACTTCAGGTCGGTTCGGTTGCCATCGCTATAGCCTGATTCTTTCCAGAGCGCGTCAAGATTTGGTTACGAACCTGCACTGTGAAGCGATGGCCAAGCACCTTCCCCTGCTGCTTGGCCATTTCCCGGTCGAACTTTGGCGAGTTTGCTGCCAACTTTCGCGACCTTTCGACTCAGATGTTCTTGGTGTGGCGTTCGCTGTACGCGGGTGAGGTGGTTCTTGAGACGCGGTTCTTGAGACGCCCCTTGTCGATGCTTATTCCGGGGATGAGCCCCTTCGGAGGCGCCTCAAGCACCACCTCGTTTGCTCCTATTCTTCCTCAAACGAGAGGCTTCAGAAATTGTTTTGTCCTAGATTTAGCCTCTTTCCCTGCTTCTTTTCGCTTAGATCGTCGACGCTGATGTATATGCCAAATTAATGAAACTTTATTCTACCCGTTCCTGCCTCTGTTCGCAACTGCTGCCTGCACAGGAGCCTCAGGTATCAGATCCTGGAATGCCAGCGATGCCACGTGCTGCAGCTGCTGGTGCTGCATCTCCTTCGTCTTGTGCTGCTGCTGTTGCTGCTGCAAAGAAGCGTCACAGGGAACCGTTGGCATGCTCTGTTGACCTGCAAGCCCTTGGCTCGCTCCTCTGCTCCTGCCTCTCCGCTTTGCAGCTTCACAAGTTGGGGGAAATCTCAGAGAGCCAAAGCTCGAATGGCCAAAGCTGGAAGGAGGGAGATGGGACAACCGTACCTGCAGCTGTGACTGCAACTGCAACTGCAACAGGGGCAGCTGTTATGTCAGCAGGGCTGAAGGATATGCTGCTGGTGAAGGCAAGAGCACAGGGCTGTGAGGAAGTCAGGGTGATAGAAGAGGAGGAAGGAGGAGTTGTTTCAGGGTGGGAGAAGATCCCGGTTTCTCTGCGCTTGCAACCCCAGCGTCCGCTGTCACTGCTTGCACCACTGCAATCCCCTGTTTCAGCTGCCTCAGTACAAGCACTTGCGCCGCTGGTGTTCCAACCACCGTTGATTTTACCTGGGTTATTGCCATCTGGGAAGTCGTTGCATCCTGGCCGTCGGTGGAGCCCTTCGTCTGTTCTGGCCTCACATTCGCCTGCCTCCGACACTTCATCATTAGAAGGACGGACTCCTTTCACAGAGGAAACGCGTTGAAGAGGGTCGAGTGGGATTTAATGTGGTGATGATTGGTCGTATGACCTTGCTTCAAACTCATCTGCAACACATTTTTGTTGTAGGGCAGTCACTGGGTATAGAGGAAACAAGGTGAGGAGGACGAGTGAGAGGGCCTGAAGCGGTCTGAAGTGGTGATAACTGGTGATGCGGTGAGGTGCAGTGGTTGGGCCAATCCGACCAGTACTTGACCTCACTTGCAATAACATTTCAGGCGCTAAACAGCTATACAAAGTTTATTAGTCTCTCTAGGTTCTGTAGTCTTTAGATTCATACGGTAGACCAAAAGCATACCTCATGCTTGATATCAAGCATCGCACTGTTTCGGCAATATTAATGATAATGGTAATCGTTTGGTAAATGCATTTCAACCTACTGTAGATGAGACATCGTAAGGTGGAACTTCGACAACTGGAAGTCTTTCAGCCGTATAACGAGGATAATCTCCTCTCACTCATCGCCTGGCGGTTTGCCACATTCAAATTATTTTTGGCTGTCCCATTCCGCCTGCCACGTCAGCCATCCTCCCCATGATCGCGCATTCCCAGCTTGCCGCAATCGGCGGCGTCAGCACCTCAGTCAGCGCGGCCATCCCGGGCCGCTCTGCGCGGCGACATTCTCCTAGTTTTACACTCCAGCAATGGGTTCCTGGATTCTCGCCGTGCATTCCGGTGCGTCTCGACGCGCAGTTCGTTAAGCCGACTCGGACAATTTCGGTGCAAGCTCGAGCTCGAGCGTCGCTCCCTAACACCGATAAAGCTTCCGAATTCGATTCATGTCCACGCACGATTCCGCAACAGGTTAACTTGGACGGCTCAGATTTCACCTCGTCAGAGCAGCTAATAGCGGATGGCCTCCTCTCGCGACGTTCTCTCGTGGCGCTCTCGTCCGCCGCACTTACCGCTTCCTTACTCGCACCGCCTTCCACGTCAGCTTCCCCGGATTCCACGTCACTCTCGCTAGGCCCTGCCGTCATCCCCCCGTGCCCTCCGGGTTCTACGGTGGAGATTCAAATCGGTGATAACTGCGGTCTTGGAGTCGCGATTTACCCCGATTTCAGCTACAGTCCCGGCGGCGTCAAGGGGGGAGGCGGCTCGGGAACCGCGACGGATTTAGACGACGGGTCGGATCGCGTCGAGATAGTGTTCGACCCTCAGACTCTGAATATCCCCCCGTTGCGGTACGACACGACGCGGTTCCTGGGGCTTCCGCTTCCCCCGCCGCTTAAGATTGACATCGCTCCCGCGGCGCTAAGGGGATACCTTGAGAGGTCCACTGGCAAGGTACATCCTGGAAGCCTGTAGCACTAAGGTGTGATTAAGCCTGATGAGCCGCGTCACTAAGCGGCTAGCTCGAGATGTCGACTGGCAAGGTAGGTCTTATAAGCCTGGAGAACTAAGGTGTGACGATCTTAAGACTGGCAAGGTAGGCCCCAGGAGGAGATTATTGTCACCTTGAAGGACTAAGGGATTCTTTGGAATCACCTTGGTTAGGGCGTTAGCTCAACCCTTCTGATGTGTTTCTTCGAAGGAGTTGGCGCAGAAGGCTAAGTTTTTTTGAGATAACTCGGTTCCTAGGGGCTGTGATGTGGTGGGAGGGTGGATGGATTGAGAGAGATGATGGCTGAAATGAAGGAAGAGGGGGGTTCTTCTAATGAGGGAGGAGGGAAAAGGAGAGAAGGGAATGTGGGGGTGTGGGGGTCCGTAGGAGTGGTATCTGGCCCTGGAAAGCAAGATGCAGTATTTATTGACTTGTAGATTTCCTTCCCACCCCTGTTCCAATTTCACTTACCTGCCTCCATTCCCCACACATCCCCTTTACAGGTGGAGCTTACCTTCATCTCTAAATTCTTCTTCACAGCAGGACCCATCTACACTGCACCACCGCTTACTGTAGAAACCACCTTAACCACAGAAAGCTCTGCTGGTCCCATGCGTTCAGCAAAAGGCTCACGGCTTGACGCCTCTGGAAAATGTACGCTAGTGGGAGTAGCACGTGTGCCTCCTGTCAATGACGCCTTTCTGGACACTTTCTTGATGCTCCCTACGGACGTTTTAGCCGTTTTGCCAGCGGAGCTGAGGTTCAAGCCAGCGGCTAGTGCATAGGACTGCTGGAGTTTTGATTACGTGTATTCATCTGTGAATGGTCGGAATTGTGAGTTCTTGACCCTCGGTTCTGATTCGGCCCTCGGTTCTGATTTTGCCAGACCGTGTTCACTATGGGCAGACCCGAATTGGGCTAAGCTGTTCAAACAAGAAATTTACCTATAGAACATTCTTGTTTGCCAAGTCAACCAAAAAGGCACCCACGGGGCGGCGGTGATAACTCCAGCAGAGCAGCGCCAAGGAAACACATACAATGACCAAAAAAGAAAATTGGCACGGCAAAGAGAAGATTTGGCGTCTAGGTGCGAACAATTGCTGAACTATTAGGGCGTGGTGCAGATTGGGGAGATATGAGGCATTTGATGTCAACAAAAAGCAATCCTTAATTTCCTGGAAGCTGTAGAATATTTTATTGCCGATCGAGGGCAATCTCTTGATCGCAAACTATGCCCCTATCGATTGCACCAATCGCACGCAATCGACTGCGATCGATTGCAATCTGTCAATTGCATCCCCGATTCTTTGGTCTGATCGTGTGGCGCAGGATGCACAATATGATCGGGGCAATCTCACCCATTTAATTGAATCTGACCCGATTGATTGCCTTGAAGCCATGGTCTCACGTTAGCAAATGAGCCATCAACTGCTAAACGGTTGATGGCTCGATTACCTAGTTAGTGCAGGCGAAGGTCTCTTTGGTTGGGTTTAAAACTCAGCTTCCGACACACCTCATCATTGCCCCAGCAACAATTACAAAACAATTTTGCGTGATGAGTTGGGGGTTGGCTCCGAACCTAGCTTCCAAGCCTAGAAGGTTTGGGTGCACCGAACGATGTGTGATCGCTTTGCGACACTCGCTTTATGAAATACCCAGAGTGAAATAGATATATAACATTGACTCTGCATGGAGTGCTTCTGTGAACGGACGCCGACAATCTCAAGTAACGGTCCTAACTGAATTGCAACTTACAGGTTTGCCCTGAACAGTGACCGTTTCCCTCACCTCACTTTCCAACCGAACCAAACTTTCAGACCAGGTACGGCGCGCAGAGGGCTCGGACCTCACTGGGGATTCCCCTCGATAAAACCACTCCCGCAATTCCTCCAAACCGTACAGAGAGCTCTGTCGTTTACCAAACCGCACGACAGCCAATACCACCAAAATTTTGCCTTGCTGTACCTTAGCTGCCATATACCCCTCTCTCCATCTTTTTCCATCTCTTTCAATCGCTTTGTACTGTCCTCGATGTTACCCCAGCCATAGCCATGGATTTCATGTGGGAAGAAATCAGTATCACGGGGAAACTAGCTGTCGCTTGTTCGTATCGGCATTGCATCCTAGATAGAAACTTAGCTTAGACGGAATGCCATTACACCCTGTATAGTTTGTATAGCTTAGACGGCATCACGCTTTGTCGACCGCAGCTCCTCCTCGCAATTAACGCTCTGCGAAGCACTGCGGGAGGGGAGCAATGCGACACCACACGCAGCTTCACGTTTTCCGTAGCTGATATTTTCTCTCTCGTAGCCTCGAGTACTGGTAGTTGCTGAAGCGGGTGGTTTCATCTGTCTCCGGTTTGAGGAGGTTCTTTCTGCTTCTGCTTTTCGTCTTTTCTGCTTCTCGGCTATTCTGTTAGAAGGGTGTCTTGGCGAATGATATTGCAAGCAATCAGCCAGGATGCATAAGGTACGCGCGGTGACATTTGAGTCGACTCAAAAGTGTCATGTACCAATTATACGAGGTGACTTCTGAGTGGGTTGAAAGTATATACCGTTTTGCCTTAAATCCTTGTGGCTTTATTATTCTAGAGGTATAGCATTTTAGCTTCCAACCCTACCGCGCACTCAGCCTCGCTATCCTTCCATCGCTGGAAGCGGGGGGTTTTCTCTGCTCACGCATTGTAGTCTTCTTGTTCTGCACTTGAGCCACTGCATCGACCAGATTGTGCTAGACTTTGTGAGGTTAATTTTCCCATGTATGGCTGACTGCTTGTTTCCCACTGTTCGCCTATCCCGAGTCATCTCTATAAGTATTACCGTCTCCTCCTCAGAATGCTCGACAACGACCTTTTTGGAAAATATCATAAGTGATACGATGAATAATTTATATGTAAATATATATACATATAAAAAGATAATGTTTCCCCTCTTCATCTGTCAGGATACGCGGCAACGGCCTGGTCCCGTTCGAGGCGGGCCCGGCAACAATTCCTGGGACGAAGATGACGACATGCCACGTGCGCTTCCCTCTCTTCCACATCATCAGCCACGTCAGCTACTTCGTCCAGAACAGCAGCAGCAGCAACAACAGCAGCAGACACGGCAGGCTCCCCCGTTACAGCCACGTAGACCACAGGCTTCGTTAGAAGAACTTCCGCCCTCCCGCGGAAAGCAAAACTCTAGAGACGCGTACGACCCGGATGAACAGTACGAACCGCGCTACTCGAATCAGCGCGATTCGCGGGATATGCGGGAGCAACAACCGTACGATCGAAACAACTGGCAAAGAAACGCGCCGGTGCCAGCTCAGCAGCGGCAGAGCGGCGCCGGCTCGGTTCCGTACAGGCGTCCAGTCCCCCAGCCAGAGTCTGAAACGGAAACTGAAACGGAGGTGGAAACGGAGGCTGAGACGGAAACGGAATTCGAGACGGAAGTTGAAACAGAGGTTGAAACGGAGGTTGAAACGGAGGCGGAAACAGAGGTAGAAGAGACGGAAACGGAATTTGAGGAAGAGGAGGAAGAGGAGGAGGAAACGGAAGTGGAGGAAGGGGAGGGTGAAGGAGAGGGAGAGGAGGAGGCGGAGGAGGAGGATAAAGAGAACATCCTAGAGCAAGTATCGGAGCTTTTGAGTCAGGTGAGCAATAGGGTTATTCATTAAGGGTAGAGACGGGTTGAGGAGGGTTGAACAGGGTTTAGATCGGTTGAGGAGGATAAGGAGAGCATTCTGGAGCAAGTATCGGAGCTGCTCAGTCAGGGGAGCAAGTGGGTGAACTATCAAGGGTGGAGACGGTTTGCGAAGGGCTGAACAGGGTTTTGAGGCAATAATTGCAGCAGGGCCGGATGGGAAACTGGATGAGTATGTGAGGAACGTGAGGAAGGTACTGGCGGAGATGGGGGGGTGGGGAAGAAGCACCTTTCTCTCCCTTCTCCCCAGGCCCCAAATGAACCATCCTTATTCCCCCTTTCCATCTCCTCCTCTTTCAAATCGAGGCAATGATTGCAGCAGGGCCTCATGGGAAAGTAGATGAGTACCTCCCGGTGATGGATCTGCTGCTGAACGTGAGCAAGGTGCTGGCGGAGGTGGGGGAGGTGAGGGTTGCTTGAGTAAGCCCGCACAAACCCGTAACTTCAATTCCCCTTTACCCTCCCATCCCTGCTCCATCTGTTGTGTAGATCGAGGCAATGATTGCAGCAGGGCCTCATGGGAAACTAGATGAGTACCTCCCGGTGGTGGATATGCTGCTGAACGTGAGCAAGGTGCTGGCGGAGGTTTGGGACATAGGAGCCCTCCCTCTCTCACCCCAACCCCAAACCCGTCTCATTCCCATCCCACCCCCCCTCTCCCTTGCAGATCGAGGCAATGATTGCAGCAGGGCCTCATGGGAAACTAGATGAATATCTGCCAGTGGTAGACCTGCTGCTGAACGTGAGGAAGGTGCTGGCGGAGGTGGGGGATAAAAAGCCCCTCCCTCTCTTCCCAATTTCTCAATCCCTCTCGCTCCCACCCCTTTTCCCTTGCAGATCGAGGCCATGATTGCGGCTGGGCTTCATGGGAAGCTAGACGAGTACCTCCCAGTGGTGGATCTGTTGCTGAACGTGAGGAAGGTGCTGGCGGAGGTGGGGGTGGGGGGAGAAGAATTAACTTCACAACCCTCGTCTATTGCTCTTCTCCTCCCTTTCCCTTTTAGATCGAGGCAATGATCGCAGCAGGCCCACACGGTAAACTAGATGAATATCTACCGGTGGTTGATCTGCTGCTGAACGTGAGGAAGGTGCTGGCGGAGGTGGGGGAGAAGGAGTCGGGGCGGCGGGCGGACATGCTGCTACGAACCGCCATGGAGGATTTGGATTATGAATTGAGAGATATTCTCAAGAGGCGCAGGTGAGACGGGGTGAGAAGGGGTAAGTAAATGGTGAACTGAGATTTTTGGAGTACCAAGGAAGGAGGGGAAAAGCGCAGGGCGGACATGCTGCTGCGGACGGCCATGGAGGATTTGGATTATGAACTCAGGGACATTCTTAAGAGGCGCAGGTGAGAGGGGGGGGCTCCCCTTTCGGTCTCCTGCATTCCCAGCAAGCAGGGCTCTGCCCGTTTCTCAGCAGATGAGCTGAAGAGGCTGTTTCAGGCTGATTCCTGCATATGCTTCCTCTCTTTCCCTCCCCACACCCTCCCCCACTCCCCCATCCACCCCGCTTGCCCGTCCCCTGCATCTCCTTCCCCCCAGCAAGCAGGCCTCCGCGCGTTTTTCAGCAGATGAGCTGAAGAGGCTGTTCCAGGCGGAGTCCTGAATGCGCTTCCTCTCCCCCTCCCCTCACATGTCCCTTCTCTTCTCTCCTGGCCTTCCCTCCCACCCCTTACCCCAGCAAGCAAGCTTCTGCGCGCTTCAGTGCAGAGGAGCTGAAGAGGCTGTTCCAGGCGGAGTTCCTACACGGGAGTGGGGAGGCAGCAGGGGAGGGTGGGGAGGAGAAGGGGGAGGGGCGGGAGGGCAGGGGGGGCAGGGAGGGGAGAGGAGGGGCGGATGGGGAGGACGAGGGCCTATTGAGTCCAGGGGAAAGAGGGGAGGAGAGGAGGGAGGGAAGGAGAGAGGGGAGGAGGGAGCTTGAGGAGGGGAGGGGGGAAGGGGACGAGAAGGCGGGAGGGGAAGGGGGGGATGGGGAGGAGGGAGAAGGGAGGAGGAAGGAGAGGAGGAAGGTTCCTGAGCTGTTTCCTGTGAGCACTGGACGGTGGTTGAATGAGGCGGCAGGGAGGATGGTGCAGGGAGGGGCAGGAGGAAAGTGCGTGGAAGCTTACAGGTCTGTGCGGGTGGAGGCAGTTAAAGCCCTAATGGACGAGCTGAAGCTGGAGGATGTGCTGAGTCCGGGGGTGATTCACGAGGCTCCTTGGAGGGTGCTGGAGCAGGCGTCAAAGGAATGGGTGCAGGCTGCTTATATCATTGTGAGCATGTCTGCACATAAGGCTGATTGATTGATGTTTTGCGAGACAACATACCTGGAGTGGAGTGAGGGTATGTAGATAGTAGAGGTACGAGGGAGAGTGATTCACGAGGCTCCTTGGCGAGTGCTGGAACAGGCTTCAAAGGAATGGGTGCAGGCGGCTTATATCGTATCATTGTAAGCATGTCTGACACGTATCATAGTGCTGAGGTTGTGCTAAAACATACTGTGAGTTACCGTAACATACCTGCTGTGCATTTACAGGTTTGTGATGCCTGTGTGTTTAACAATCCTTCCTATTGCAATCCCCCTTTCCATGCAGGGAGCACTAATAATCCCCATGGAGCATCAGACGGCCAACGAGGCGTGGAAGGGCATGGACACGCAGAGGCGTGCCGCGCTGCGGGGCGTGCTGGAGGACGGTGGCGTGGGCCGGCGGGTTTTGTTTCTAGCGGACGTGCTGAGAGCCATCGTGTCGCGGCGAATGGCAGAGCAGCTGTTCTCGCTGCTGGACGCTTACCAAGTGGTGCAAGAAATCATGCAGGAGGTACGTGCCTGATGTCTCTGTTAATAGCCTGTAAGAGAAGTGACTGTAGTCTGCAGGTGATGTGAGGTGATGTGAGGTAATGTGAGGTAATGTGAGGTAATGTGAGGTGATGTGACTGGTGTCGCGGCGAATGGCAGAGCAGCTGTTCTCACTGCTGGATACATACCAAGTTGTGCAAGAAATCATGCCGGAGGTATGCAACCAATATCAAGTCAATGTCAGTCAGCGTAATCTGCTGGTGACGTGTGAAGGGCTTGTGTCGCGCCTTTCTCAATGTCATAGCAGCTGTTCTCATTGCTGGACGCTTACCAAGTGGTGCAAGAAATCATGCCGGAGGTGTGTGAGTGGAGTGGACTGTATGGTGTGACTATTGGTGATGTGAGGAGGCCGCATGGCAGAGCAGCTGTTCTCGCTGCTGGACGCTTACCAAGTGGTGCAAGAAATCATGCCGGAGGTGTGTGAGTGGAGTGGACTGTATGGTGTGACTATTGGTGATGTGAGGAGGCCGCATGGCAGAGCAGCTGTTCTCGCTGCTTGACGCATATCAAGTGGTGCAAGAAATAATGCCAGAGGTACGTTCTTGGTGACTGGATTATGGCTGGCAGAGCCGCAGAGGTACGCCTGTGGACCTGATATGAGGATGAATAGCTTGCACGGGCCGAGGCGAGAAATGTTTGCATGGCAGAGCAGCTGTTCTCGCTGCTGGACGCTTACCAAGTGGTGCAAGGAATAATGCCAGAGGTACGTCACTGATGTCTCTGTTGATAGCCTGTAAGCGAAGTGACTGTAGTCTGCAGGTGATGTGACTGCTTGTGTCCCAGCGGATGGCAGAGCAGCTGTTCCCGCTGCTGGACGCTTACCAAGTGGTGCAAGTGGTAATGCCGGACGTGGGTGATCGGACGGTTTGTAATTGTTGGGACTGCAGGTGATGTGACTGCAGGTGATGTGATTATGTACCCCCACTCCCTCTCCCTTAACTGCCAATGTCTCTCCCTTCTCCCAGCTCGCTGCCACCTTTCAGGACCTGAAGGGCAGCAACGTGTGGGGGCGCGTGAGGGACTGCCGCTGCTGCTGGAGAGAGAAGCAACAGTGTACTCCCGTCCAGCCCATGCCCGTGACACACACCCCATCCTCTCTCTGCCAACTCTTCTCCCCTTTCCCAGCTCGCTGCCACCTTTCAGGACCTCAAGGTCAGCAATGTGTGGGGGGCGTGCGAGGGCCTGCCGCTGCTGCTGGGGCGAGCAGTGGCAGCGTGTTTCCGTCCAATCCATGCCCTTGTGCTTACATCCCATCCCATCCCATCTCTGCAAATGTCTCTCCCCTCTCCCAGCTCGCTGCCACCTTTCAGGACCTAAAAGTCACCAATGCGTGGGGGGCGTGTGAGGGCCTGCCGCTGTTATTGGGGCGAGCAGTGGCAGCGTGCTTCCAGCGCCTCAAGCTGCCCCCTACTTTCCATCTGACCCATACCCTTCTGTACCCCCAACCCGCTCCGCCCTGTACTTCTTCTATCCCTATGCTTACACCCCAGCTGTCAGCCACCTTCCAGGATCTGAAAGTCAGCAATGTGTGGGGGGCGTGTGAGGGCCTGCCACTGTTATTGGGGCGAGCAGTGGCAGCGTGCTTCCAGCGCCTCAAGCTCTTACTCGAGGACTCAGCAGCGTCCAACCTCGCTGATGCCATGAGGAAACCCGTTCCTGCCAAAAAGGCCGCCCTGAGGTGAGTGGGAACGTTGCAGGGGAGAATGTTGAACGAGGTAAGCGCTGTTTGTATGGCAAAATCTGCCTGCAGCAGCGTGCTTCCAGCGCCTCAAGCTCTTACTGGAGGACCCGGCTGCTTCTAACCTCGCTGATGCCATGTGGAAACCCGTTCCTGCCAAAAAGGCCGCCCTGAGGTGAGTGGGAACGTTGCAGGGGAGAATGTTGAACGAGGTAAGCGCTGTTTGTATGGCAAAATCTGCCTGCAGCAGCGTGCTTCCAGCGCCTCAAGCTCTTACTGGAGGACCCGGCTGCTTCTAACCTCGCTGATGCCATGTGGAAACCCGTTCCTGCCAAAAAGGCCGCCCTGAGGTGAGTGGGAACGTTGCAGGGGAGAATGTTGAACGAGGTAAGCGCTGTTTGTATGGCAAAATCTGCCTGCAGCAGCGTGCTTCCAGCGCCTCAAGCTCTTACTGGAGGACCCGGCTGCTTCTAACCTCGCTGATGCCATGTGGAAACCCGTTCCTGCCAAAAAGGCCGCCCTGAGGTGAGTGGGAACGTTGCAGGGGAGAATGTTGAACGAGGTAAGCGCTGTTTGTATGGCAAAATCTGCCTGCAGCAGCGTGCTTCCAGCGCCTCAAGCTCTTACTGGAGGACCCGGCTGCTTCTAACCTCGCTGATGCCATGTGGAAACCCGTTCCTGCCAAAAAGGCCGCCCTGAGGTGAGTGGGAACGTTGCAGGGGAGAATGTTGAACGAGGTAAGCGCTGTTTGTATGGCAAAATCTGCCTGCAGCAGCGTGCTTCCAGCGCCTCAAGCTCTTACTGGAGGACCCGGCTGCTTCTAACCTCGCTGATGCCATGTGGAAACCCGTTCCTGCCAAAAAGGCCGCCCTGAGGTGAGTGGGAACGTTGCAGGGGAGAATGTTGAACGAGGTAAGCGCTGTTTGTATGGCAAAATCTGCCTGCAGCAGCGTGCTTCCAGCGCCTCAAGCTCTTACTGGAGGACCCGGCTGCTTCTAACCTCGCTGATGCCATGTGGAAACCCGTTCCTGCCAAAAAGGCCGCCCTGAGGTGAGTGGGAACGTTGCAGGGGAGAATGTTGAACGAGGTAAGCGCTGTTTGTATGGCAAAATCTGCCTGCAGCAGCGTGCTTCCAGCGCCTCAAGCTCTTACTGGAGGACCCGGCTGCTTCTAACCTCGCTGATGCCATGTGGAAACCCGTTCCTGCCAAAAAGGCCGCCCTGAGGTGAGTGGGAACGTTGCAGGGGAGAATGTTGAACGAGGTAAGCGCTGTTTGTATGGCAAAATCTGCCTGCAGCAGCGTGCTTCCAGCGCCTCAAGCTCTTACTGGAGGACCCGGCTGCTTCTAACCTCGCTGATGCCATGTGGAAACCCGTTCCTGCCAAAAAGGCCGCCCTGAGGTGAGTGGGAACGTTGCAGGGGAGAATGTTGAACGAGGTAAGCGCTGTTTGTATGGCAAAATCTGCCTGCAGCAGCGTGCTTCCAGCGCCTCAAGCTCTTACTGGAGGACCCGGCTGCTTCTAACCTCGCTGATGCCATGTGGAAACCCGTTCCTGCCAAAAAGGCCGCCCTGAGGTGAGTGGGAACGTTGCAGGGGAGAATGTTGAACGAGGTAAGCGCTGTTTGTATGGCAAAATCTGCCTGCAGCAGCGTGCTTCCAGCGCCTCAAGCTCTTACTGGAGGACCCGGCTGCTTCTAACCTCGCTGATGCCATGTGGAAACCCGTTCCTGCCAAAAAGGCCGCCCTGAGGTGAGTGGGAACGTTGCAGGGGAGAATGTTGAACGAGGTAAGCGCTGTTTGTATGGCAAAATCTGCCTGCAGCAGCGTGCTTCCAGCGCCTCAAGCTCTTACTGGAGGACCCGGCTGCTTCTAACCTCGCTGATGCCATGTGGAAACCCGTTCCTGCCAAAAAGGCCGCCCTGAGGTGAGTGGGAACGTTGCAGGGGAGAATGTTGAACGAGGTAAGCGCTGTTTGTATGGCAAAATCTGCCTGCAGCAGCGTGCTTCCAGCGCCTCAAGCTCTTACTGGAGGACCCGGCTGCTTCTAACCTCGCTGATGCCATGTGGAAACCCGTTCCTGCCAAAAAGGCCGCCCTGAGGTGAGTGGGAACGTTGCAGGGGAGAATGTTGAACGAGGTAAGCGCTGTTTGTATGGCAAAATCTGCCTGCAGCAGCGTGCTTCCAGCGCCTCAAGCTCTTACTGGAGGACCCGGCTGCTTCTAACCTCGCTGATGCCATGTGGAAACCCGTTCCTGCCAAAAAGGCCGCCCTGAGGTGAGTGGGAACGTTGCAGGGGAGAATGTTGAACGAGGTAAGCGCTGTTTGTATGGCAAAATCTGCCTGCAGCAGCGTGCTTCCAGCGCCTCAAGCTCTTACTGGAGGACCCGGCTGCTTCTAACCTCGCTGATGCCATGTGGAAACCCGTTCCTGCCAAAAAGGCCGCCCTGAGGTGAGTGGGAACGTTGCAGGGGAGAATGTTGAACGAGGTAAGCGCTGTTTGTATGGCAAAATCTGCCTGCAGCAGCGTGCTTCCAGCGCCTCAAGCTCTTACTGGAGGACCCGGCTGCTTCTAACCTCGCTGATGCCATGTGGAAACCCGTTCCTGCCAAAAAGGCCGCCCTGAGGTGAGTGGGAACGTTGCAGGGGAGAATGTTGAACGAGGTAAGCGCTGTTTGTATGGCAAAATCTGCCTGCAGCAGCGTGCTTCCAGCGCCTCAAGCTCTTACTGGAGGACCCGGCTGCTTCTAACCTCGCTGATGCCATGTGGAAACCCGTTCCTGCCAAAAAGGCCGCCCTGAGGTGAGTGGGAACGTTGCAGGGGAGAATGTTGAACGAGGTAAGCGCTGTTTGTATGGCAAAATCTGCCTGCAGCAGCGTGCTTCCAGCGCCTCAAGCTCTTACTGGAGGACCCGGCTGCTTCTAACCTCGCTGATGCCATGTGGAAACCCGTTCCTGCCAAAAAGGCCGCCCTGAGGTGAGTGGGAACGTTGCAGGGGAGAATGTTGAACGAGGTAAGCGCTGTTTGTATGGCAAAATCTGCCTGCAGCAGCGTGCTTCCAGCGCCTCAAGCTCTTACTGGAGGACCCGGCTGCTTCTAACCTCGCTGATGCCATGTGGAAACCCGTTCCTGCCAAAAAGGCCGCCCTGAGGTGAGTGGGAACGTTGCAGGGGAGAATGTTGAACGAGGTAAGCGCTGTTTGTATGGCAAAATCTGCCTGCAGCAGCGTGCTTCCAGCGCCTCAAGCTCTTACTGGAGGACCCGGCTGCTTCTAACCTCGCTGATGCCATGTGGAAACCCGTTCCTGCCAAAAAGGCCGCCCTGAGGTGAGTGGGAACGTTGCAGGGGAGAATGTTGAACGAGGTAAGCGCTGTTTGTATGGCAAAATCTGCCTGCAGCAGCGTGCTTCCAGCGCCTCAAGCTCTTACTGGAGGACCCGGCTGCTTCTAACCTCGCTGATGCCATGTGGAAACCCGTTCCTGCCAAAAAGGCCGCCCTGAGGTGAGTGGGAACGTTGCAGGGGAGAATGTTGAACGAGGTAAGCGCTGTTTGTATGGCAAAATCTGCCTGCAGCAGCGTGCTTCCAGCGCCTCAAGCTCTTACTGGAGGACCCGGCTGCTTCTAACCTCGCTGATGCCATGTGGAAACCCGTTCCTGCCAAAAAGGCCGCCCTGAGGTGAGTGGGAACGTTGCAGGGGAGAATGTTGAACGAGGTAAGCGCTGTTTGTATGGCAAAATCTGCCTGCAGCAGCGTGCTTCCAGCGCCTCAAGCTCTTACTGGAGGACCCGGCTGCTTCTAACCTCGCTGATGCCATGTGGAAACCCGTTCCTGCCAAAAAGGCCGCCCTGAGGTGAGTGGGAACGTTGCAGGGGAGAATGTTGAACGAGGTAAGCGCTGTTTGTATGGCAAAATCTGCCTGCAGCAGCGTGCTTCCAGCGCCTCAAGCTCTTACTGGAGGACCCGGCTGCTTCTAACCTCGCTGATGCCATGTGGAAACCCGTTCCTGCCAAAAAGGCCGCCCTGAGGTGAGTGGGAACGTTGCAGGGGAGAATGTTGAACGAGGTAAGCGCTGTTTGTATGGCAAAATCTGCCTGCAGCAGCGTGCTTCCAGCGCCTCAAGCTCTTACTGGAGGACCCGGCTGCTTCTAACCTCGCTGATGCCATGTGGAAACCCGTTCCTGCCAAAAAGGCCGCCCTGAGGTGAGTGGGAACGTTGCAGGGGAGAATGTTGAACGAGGTAAGCGCTGTTTGTATGGCAAAATCTGCCTGCAGCAGCGTGCTTCCAGCGCCTCAAGCTCTTACTGGAGGACCCGGCTGCTTCTAACCTCGCTGATGCCATGTGGAAACCCGTTCCTGCCAAAAAGGCCGCCCTGAGGTGAGTGGGAACGTTGCAGGGGAGAATGTTGAACGAGGTAAGCGCTGTTTGTATGGCAAAATCTGCCTGCAGCAGCGTGCTTCCAGCGCCTCAAGCTCTTACTGGAGGACCCGGCTGCTTCTAACCTCGCTGATGCCATGTGGAAACCCGTTCCTGCCAAAAAGGCCGCCCTGAGGTGAGTGGGAACGTTGCAGGGGAGAATGTTGAACGAGGTAAGCGCTGTTTGTATGGCAAAATCTGCCTGCAGCAGCGTGCTTCCAGCGCCTCAAGCTCTTACTGGAGGACCCGGCTGCTTCTAACCTCGCTGATGCCATGTGGAAACCCGTTCCTGCCAAAAAGGCCGCCCTGAGGTGAGTGGGAACGTTGCAGGGGAGAATGTTGAACGAGGTAAGCGCTGTTTGTATGGCAAAATCTGCCTGCAGCAGCGTGCTTCCAGCGCCTCAAGCTCTTACTGGAGGACCCGGCTGCTTCTAACCTCGCTGATGCCATGTGGAAACCCGTTCCTGCCAAAAAGGCCGCCCTGAGGTGAGTGGGAACGTTGCAGGGGAGAATGTTGAACGAGGTAAGCGCTGTTTGTATGGCAAAATCTGCCTGCAGCAGCGTGCTTCCAGCGCCTCAAGCTCTT